TGACTCAGTATTATTTATTTCGGTCAACCATAATGTCAAATTTTCTATTCCATATCCTTTTTTTTCCCTTTCATTATGAGGAGTATTTTTTTCTATCTTATTTTTTAAATTGATTATTTATTAGCAATATATATTATACTATATAATATTTAAAACTATCAAACATATGACATAACACATCACACGAATAATAATAATAATAATAATAATAATAATAATAATAATAATAATAATAATAATAATAATAATAATAATAATAATAATAATAATAATAATAATAATAACTGTATTTTATAGTTTCAATTGCTACTTTTACCGAATACTCATTGTATGAACCTCTACCTTGACAGCTGATCTCTAACAGTTACTACTTGACAGCTCACAACTACCTCTACAACTCACAACTTCTCAAACGCTAATAGCCAACATCTACAACTAGTTTTGCCGAACAGACCTTAAGAGGCAGAAGACACCTACTTACTCATCATCAATTTGCGCTAGAAGTTTAATTATGGTGTACATTGAATAAAATTAAAGACATTGAAGATATTTCTCAATATTCTTCTTTTTCTTCTTCTTCTAAAAAACACGAACTCAATCGCACACATATCATCTCAACTCTTAAGCCTAGTTACGTATGGTAAATTCAAATAGAGGGGAGAAGAGAATATCGTAATAGAAGACGAACTTTCATGTATTCGATTGACTAAATATAGTAGCATTACAAGGTTTTGGATAGACATAAGACTTACACATCATATAACATATTGATAACTACTAACTAGAATTAAGGAAACACAAGATGACTTAATTAGTGGGTAAACATGCATGGATCCACTAAGCTAAGACATACGTACGTACATTAACTCAACTAATAATGGTAACATACCAATTGACTGTTGATGTAGTGGTGATTGAGACTACACTTGGTAGGAAGGACCCGTGTTCGATCCCCCGCAACAACAATTGGGAGGAGACTGGAACCTAACTACCCAGAACTGATCCCCGAATCCGGATTAGCCCAAAGGGTGAACCGGGTAGAACACCAAAAAAACAAATATATGTATATATATATAATAATAATAATAATAATAATAATAATAATAATAATAATAATAATAATAATAATAATAATAATAATAATAATAATAATAATAATAATAATAATAATAATAATGATAATGATAGCATGCCTTCAACTCTAATAATCTACCAATATACGTCGCACATGTTGCTTAGAACTTGGCACTACTTTGAATCACAATCACTAATCCAACAAATGAGAGTGTGTGTTGTAGGGACAAGGGAGACAACTTGTTTGCGAGCTTCTTTTCTGGGCCAACTTGTAAAGCCCAACAAATTTATAAGAGGTGATGCAGCCCATTGTTGGTACTTTGGATACAAATACTCCCTATATTAGGAAAATCTAACAAGACACCCTCTGTTTTTATCTAAAGTATCAGATTTTGACACATTGGCTTATTAAGTGGAATATTAAGTGCTGAGTATGAGAAGAGTCCATGCTGCATCCACACTTCTAGCCCAAATGGGCTGTCGTGTGAGAGGGCGTGATTGAGTATAAAACATATTCTTGGGGCTCAACCATTAGTTTATTCTTTTGGTCGAGTTGATCCTCTAACAACATCACTAATAACTTGTTGATAGCTAACAACTACCTACACAGCTAACAGTTACCTCCACATCTATAATTTGTCGAACACGCCCATAATAAATTGATTAAACTGCTTTTAATGTAATTTCTAATGTCACCTTATTCGTTGTTATTAGTTACGTGACATTTTTTTTTTGAAAGAGTTAGGTATGTGACTATTGAATTTATTAAATATAAATAAATTATAAATATGTTATCTTACTCGTCACATATTAGGATAGAATCTTTAATGTGAAAAGATTAAAGATTATTTTTTTGTTTTTTTTTAAATAATTTAAATCTTAAATTATTATTTGTTGTTTTTGCATTTGAAGTTAAATTCTTAAATGTTATTCATTTTTTTTTGCTTACATGCTAATTGATTTTATTTTAAATTCTAAATAAAGTACAAATCTCTCTCTTTTTTTTTTGGTTAAAATAAGCTCCTGCTTTGCTTATGTGGGGTGCCAATGGTCCAAAAAATGCACATTTTGTACATTTCTTATAATCTCTTAATGTCTAACATTTTTCTACGTTTTTACTAGAATTTTTTTCTTTATTTTTTTTAATTATTTGATTGATTTTAATATCTCATTCATTATAAAAAAATATTATTTTATTAATCGGATATTTAGATAAAATCATTAATATAAAAAGATATTTTATTTTTTTTATTAGTTTTGGGCTAGAAAAGCTGCCCAAACCCGCCCAAAATTAGATTGGGCCACCTATGATCAACTCTAATCCTCTATGATTTTTTCCATTTGGTATCCCAAAATAATCTTTTCATTTAATTTTTTCTATTTTTGAAAACTATAAAAAGACCAATTAAATTGCCTTCATTTTTTTATTCACTCAACTACCTTAAATACTCTCATATTTTCTATAAAAATTTATGCCCTACTCATGGGCATTTACTTTTTTTTTTCCCACTTTTCATGCAATTTTTATTTATGCCGCAGTCACATTTCTTGTACTTAACTTCTTACAGCTGTGAATTTCGAGAGTCAATGGCCATAGGTTCGAATCCTTCCGCCTTTCTTGTGGATCATCCTGTGTTTGATGTTGTACTTCGTCCTCCTGTTTCTTAGTTTCCGTGAAAATTTCATAATGTGAAAACAATAAGAGACGAAGGAAGTAATTTTCTAACATCAATCAAAGATGATTCATCTAGTTACTATATATGAATCATATAAGGAATCCTTATTCAGATTCAACTATAGATCGAGATGAGAAAAGAATTGATGTACACGTCCTATACCATATTTTACCCTCATTTTACCGTATGGTTTTTGAGCTCTACGGAGTTACTTCTCGCTAATATTCTCTTCTCTAGTATGACTTGGTCTATTTAATTGATTTTGTAAGCACATGAAGATTTTTGGATGATTTGGACTTGTTTTAGATAACCATGAGAGCTTACGAAGATGGTAGAGAATTTTCCCGTGTCCGCCGTGGAGGGCAACATTGCCCTGGCAGCCAGGGCGAAGGAAGGAAGAGAAATGCGGAGAATATGAAGAACTCAACTTCTGTCCGCCCGGACCGGGCAGCCTTGCCCAGGCAGCTGAGGTATTACATGAGGAAGCTAGATGAAGAAGCGCAAGCCGGTTTTGTTTCTCGCGCCCGACCGGGCGGCTTTGCCCGGTCAGATCGGGCAGAGTGTTGAAGACTGCGTTTTCCTATTTTTTCGGGTTTTTTTATATTAGGGGTTATAAATACCTGTTGTAAACCCCGACTAAAAATACTTAGTTATTATTTTCTAGCTTTAAAACCTTCATTAGAGCCCTAATATTCTCTCTAGATCTAGATTACATTTCACTTTCAAGTTTTAATCTTTATTCATCAACAATTGGTACTTTTCTTCATTCAAGCAATTGATATTCATCTTTATTTCTTCTTTTACTTTTAATTACTTATTAATCATGTTTTCTTCATTGATTATTGTTTTTGCTTTCATTAATATGTGTGAGTAGTTTCTTTATTTCAAGATCTAGCGGAACCCGAATATGATTAATGCATGATTTAATTCTTTAAATTCTCTAATAATAATTGTAATTGATATGCTTAATTGATTATGCTTATGCCAATACTAGATTAGGGATAGTTGGTATTGTTATTAATCCTTTGTTTTAATCGCAACGGGAGTTGGGTTTGATGGATTTGAATAAATCAATTAAGGGTTTGAAGTTCATCACGGGAGTAGTTGAATGGATGATTAGGAAGTTAGAGTAATGTGCTTAAGGTCTTTAATTTACATGATTCCACGGAAGGTAGGCTTGATTATGATTAGAGAAGTCATTGATAACTCGGAAGAGACCATTGGTATTATTCATGGATTACTTTTCCTCTTTAATCAATTAAATTATGTGTTAGGGGTAGAACGACTATTGCATTAATTGTATTCGTGGTGATGCTTGATCTTGGATGTTTTTAGAATTGATTTGTCATATTGTTTCGATTTAATTGTTTTAATTAGTTCTTTAGTTATTGATTCTCATTCATTTGATTTGGTTACTTGTTTAGTAATTGCTTGAGTCTATTTAATTAGTTGAACCATAGTCTCTTGGGATCCGACCCTTGCTTGCCCGTCTACATAGTAGTGGTCTAGTTAGGTTTATTTTTGTTAGGTACGCGACACGCCTATCAAGAATCTAGCTAGATTTAATAATAAATAACTTAATTAGAATTTTTCAGGTTTCAGCTAATTTTTTTTTTCTTTTTCTCTCTTCTCTCTCCTCTATCTTCTAGGGTTTTAGTTTTCTTGGCCGTTTAGGCCGAAAATAGTCTAATTTCTTTGGAAATTAGACTATTTCCGACCCTTTTTCTTTAATTCAATTTAGTTTTTGTTTTGCTTTACGTTTTGTTTTGTTTTGTTCTCTCCATCTGTGATAGTCTGTCCCAAATTTCCGGGATTTTGATTCTAATCTATGGATGAGAATTTTATTTTTAGGGTTCTTATAATAATTAGGAAGGTGATTTGAATTCCTATGGGTATGGGATTTGTCATCAACTGGTCGATCAAAACATCAGCGCGGATTGCGGAGGTCTCAACTTGAAAAGATGCAAAGACATCGAAAATTATTGCTCGCGTCAAGCTTGAAGCGGTGGAGTATGAGCTATGCCAAATATGCAAATTAGTTATGATTTTGATTGTAAAAGTTATGATATTTTCTCTAAATCTGTGGTTTACAGATTTTTATTATTGTAAATGTCGTATGGCTATTCTTTAATGATATTATTACTTCCCGTTCAAAAAAAAAAAAAAAATATATATGTAACAGGGTTGGAAAAAAAAAGTATATAAGTAACATCTCAAAGAGGTATATACGACTATACCAGACAAATAGTAATTTTTTTTTATAAAAAACAAATACCAAAATAAACTTTGGAAGCTTTAAGTAAAATCGGTACCATATGGGAACCTCGCTCTTGTTCTCTATTTGGACACTCTTTTATTATTAGATGTTATAAACTATAAATAACATGTATATAAGCAAAATAAATTAAAGCATACTACATGTATAAAATTAAACATATTTTTGGTATATTAAGCTGTGCCAAATATCTTCTTCATTCGCTTAACTTCTGCATGACTAAGGAGTGTAATTTTTTGAGCTATCTCACCAGGCAAATTGCCGGCAAATAGGGAAGGTGTAGTGAGTTGTAATCCTGGGTTTGCGCCATTCAAGCTAACAAATGCGAGAGCTGGTATTTTACCCACGTTAACTTGGAAGTGAAGCATCGCTTCTGGAAAGATCATGACATCACCAACCTCGAGTGTTTTGTAATAAGCTTTGTTGTTTGTGTCAATAAATCCTGCAATTATTGTACCTTTTATTACAATAATAACTTCTGATGTTCGATGGGAGTGTACTGGAACGGCTCCACCAACCTTCAAGTCTAACCTTGCCATAGATATGCCTAAACCATTTAAGGCGGGGTAAGCATTTGAAAATGCTAGGGTAACATTGTATCCAAAAGCATTAGTGATTGCTTTTTCACCACGAAATCCAGTGTAAACAAAGTCCTCAATCGTGACTTTAGAAGAATCTTTGCAAGCATAACCTCCTGGTCCTCTAGGAAGACTAAGATCCCCAACACAAAAGTCGAGTTCAATAGCAAGAGTGAGGGATGCTAAAAGAGAGAAAATGATAAAAACTACACGATTGTTCATGTTGAAAGCTATAGAAAACTAGTAAACTAGTAGCAGTAAGTGAGGTAAGGCTAGCTTTAGTTTAGTGGATTCAGATAAATTCCTTAGTTCGGATTTCTTAGCAAGAATTGGTATCCTATTTATAGGAATGCCATAGTAGACTCCGTCAAAAAAAAAAAAAAAAAAAAAAAAATTGCCATAGTAGACTAGGTATAGAAGCACCTCCTTTAAGATTATAAAAATTAAAATATAATTAGAAAACCCTTTTTCTAGATTATTAGACTTAAATTAGGCCATGTTCACTCCAACTTTATATAATAATATTAAGTATAAATAATCTAGTTCAGTAAAAATAATTCCAGTTCATTAAAAATAAGTTTAGTTTAGTAAAAATAATTTTAGTTCAGTAAAATTCAGTAACTTTAAAGAAGAAATATAATACTTCCTCCGTTTTTATTTTATTGCTCCGGTAGGACTTTTACACTATTCACTTATTCTTCTTGAAATAATTTGTGATTTATCCATTAGAAAAAAATTAGTCATGTGAGATCTAGTTAGATTCGTCTCAAAATCTACTTTTCAATTATCAAATTTTTATAATTTTTACAAAAGTATAATTGAAGATATTAATAGATAAAGTAATGCATTGACAAGCGTGAAATATCTCATGGTGCAATAAAAAAAGAACGGAGGAAGTATAAAATTAGTAAAAAAAAAATAATAATTTTAATTCAGTAAAAATAATTTTTGTCCAACAAAAGTAATTTCAATTCGTTAAAAATAATTTTAGTTATGCAAAAATAAGATGAAGTGAACGGGGCCTTATTGTCATACAATTATATACTGAGTATGTTTTAATATATCCACATATTTAATTAGCTAAAAGAATTGGAAAAAAAAATTGTGTTCATACGCTTGAGGAAATGCGGAGACTAATCTACTTAATTTTGAAAACTTTAAAGTGTAAATTGTATCTTTTTTTATGTGAATTTTATCCTAATAAAACCAATTATAATAGAAGGCCGGATTATAAAGTGTTTATCTCTCTCCTTTTTTTTTTTACTAGTTTACTATTGTACAGACGGTACAGTTATATTTATATGTCATGAGATATCAATACATATGACGATTTGTACGGGTCATTGTAGTTGTTGAACGAAATCAGATCATGTGATAGTAATGTAAAGGGGGAAGGGGGGAGGGATTTAGCAAAGGTTGAAAGATGCAATGGACGTAGTTGCATTATAAGATTAACTACCCATGCAAAAATAATTTTTTACCTTAATTTTCTTTTCTCCTTTTGAGAATTGTAGACGAACAATTCAACATTATTGATTATATTGATTATATAATCAAGAAATAGGAATTATATTGATTATATTAAGTTCCTCTTCCTATTATAATTACCAAGAAATTATCTAGAAATTAAACGGTAACATAAAAGTTTATTGCTCCATATTACTTTAGTAATGAATACATAATAAACTTATTCATGGACTAGTACGTCCACACAATTTGAATTTGCAAAAAAGTTCAAGCAATAGCAGAAGTTGACTTCTGGTAGGAGTAGTTGTAAGAATGGCATACATTGATAATAACCCCACAGTCAAATTACATACTTGTATTGTTAAAATTTTAAACAAGGTCTAAGGAGCATTCATACTAAAACCAATTGATAATAATATGAGTAACTCCTCTACCTTATAAAGTATAATCATCTTCCCTCTTTCTCTAATGTGGAACACTCGCATACAGGGGTGAAGGAAGAGGGATACAAAGGGGGACACTTGTCCCCTCACTTATAAAAAAAATTAGTTGTTTTTTTTTTTTAATTATGTTATTTAAATCCAAAATTGTAAATTTTTAAAAGTTTATTTTTTCATATATATGTATGAAATAATTTGGATTACTTAATTTGTTTTATTAAAATTTAAATCACACACTTGTTTTAGTATAGATAGAATCATAAAATTGATTACCTTATTGAAAAGTTAGGGATGTTCAATTGTTAACTTTTTAATTTGTGTTGAATGGTTTTAATTATTATTTTAAAAAGAAATATTGTTTATAATTTCAATGTATGACGATATGATAATTGACTTATTAGTTTATATTTTTCAAATTAATTACGACATGTCAAATGTTCACTAAATTCAAACGATTCCAAGACAACGGGAAAACTACTTGATCTTTAACCATTCATGTTTTAAGATATCCCAAGAAAATGATACTCTTCATTTTTTTTTTGAAGAAATACTCTTCATTTAGTTTCCCACAATTCTCAAAGACATTGTCAACCACACAAACCCATAACTCTCACGGCCTTATAGGCAAGTATCCCATTCATTAATATTTTTTCATTTTTTTTTGGATTGTATGACCAAAATATTTTGGATACTGTTTAACTATCTATATTTCAAGATTTTTTTTTGCTACATTCTTGTAAATTATACAATGTTACTTTATCCCCACTTATATGAAATTTCTGGTTCCGCCACTACTCATATATAGGCTACAACTAGGTTAGATCTCGTGCCATGCACATTAATTTTCAATAACTATATTTAAAATGAACATTATATACTTTCGTATGTTACATAAATTCATATCAATTGAATCCTAAAAACAACAAAAATGGCAAGAAAAAATCACAATACTAACCAGCGACATGTGTCATCTTTAGCAAGCAATTATTGAAGTTTTCTTGGAGTGCTAATTGATTGAAATTCTAATCATAATTTATTCAAGGAAATAACAAAAGTATCATTTGTTGATTTGATATTTGCATTTTTTTAAGCTTGTAGCTTTTATTACATAATTAAAAAAATCAAGAAAAAAATATATAATTTTGTTGTAATAAACGTATGTTGTTCATAATTATATCTTTCTTAAAAAAATAGTCCATAACAAATGATGTTAAGAATATTATTTTTCATATTTTTTGCTTAAGTTTATAGTTGTTAATATATTTATTTTGAAAAGATACATCTAATCTTCAATTATACTTTGTATGTAATTATTACCTTATAAATATATGTAAAAAGATTATTTTTTAAATTGAATTTTTTTCCAAAAAAAAAAATTAAATTAAATAAGGACACACCAGGGCATAGCGGCGCCCTCGACTGGCGCCATTCCCCGACCGAGATGACACGTGTCATTACTGGTGTGTCTTTTAGTATATATATAAGTTATTGATTGATGAAATTCAACACGTTGATAATATTAAGATAAGAAAATATATTTAGGGAATATATCTTATACGTAGCAGTGTCTTTGAGTTTATGTTGCATTATCTTTTAGGCCCTGTTCTCTTCACCTTAATTTTGCTGAACTGAAATTATTTTTACTTAACCGAAATTATTTTTTTGCTGAACTTAAATTATTTTTACTGAACTTAAATTAATTTTACTGAACTGAAATTATTTTTGCTGAACTGAAATTATTTTTACTGATTTTCTATTATAATTCTTTTTTAAGAAAATTGAATTTTACTGAACTGAAATTATTTTTATTGAACTGAAATTAATTTTACTGAACTGAACTTATTTTTACTGAACTGAAATTATTTTTACTTAATATTATTTTTTTAAGGTGAAAAGAACAGGGCCTTAGTATGATACAATATTTCCTAAGCTAGATATTAGAATCCTAATTGAGTTAGGTTTCTAGGAGATTGTATAAATATTTGATTGATGATGAATGAGAAACTTGACACTTTGAGATTATCTTGACATATAATTTCAAACTTTGCCTCGTAACTTTATTTTCATGCATCACATATTCGTACTAATTATCTATATAATACTCCATAAGTCCATAACGTATAGTGACGTTTATTTTTCAAAATCACATCCAGACTTAGCCAAAAGTAAAATGTTAGATAATTCGTTTTTTTAAAAGAAGTCAATATTAAACAAGTTTATTAAAAAGAGACACTATTACTGACCCACTACATTTAATAAAAAAAAAAATAATAATCCAAGGTGCTCTTATTAATTAATTATAAAGTACTCTAAAGAGGAAAAATGGCGTAATTGATGATGTAACCTAGTATAATAAACTGCCTAAATTTTAAAAATTATTATAATCATTTACTTCTAGATCATGTTCATGTATTTGAAATTTTATTAGGAGACCCAAAAAAATCAGAATATGAAATACTACATAAAGACAGCGAATACATTATTTTATAAAACATGAAAAAGTGTGAATGCTAAATTAGTGATATTAACAATACCAAATTCAACTCATCCTAAACTAATGCCAAGTTGTTTAAGAAAAGAATAGTAGAATGGTGGTTGTTAGGGTGTGTTCTATTTACCTGATTTTCACTGATTTGAACTTATTTGAACTTATCTGAACTTATTAGACCTTGTTAAAACTTATTTTAGTTGTAATTTGTACTTGAGTAACCCTTATAAGAACTTATTAAACCTGATCTGAACTTATCTGAATTTATTACACCTGACAAAACAAAAGCAAGATATTCATTTGCATTTAATTAATGCGAAGTTTATCAAAAGTCTTAATAACATAATCTATACGGAGTAATATTATTAAAGTCGTTGGAACAATATTCTAACACCATGTATCACTATGACACATGTGTGCTAGGTGTTATCCTATGTGTCATCATCCTTTTCTCACCATATTGATTACTACTCCATAATGTTTAGTCTCTTTTAAAATAAATTCATAGACATTATTTTAATTCTCTGTAATAATGTTTAACTAGTGTGTGACCCGGGCGTTGCACCGCATTACCATTTTGATTAAATGGTTTCTTTATGAAATATATTTATCATCTTTTTTCACATATATAATGAAATATATTATCGTCGATTATGTATGTTATGCATAAATGTTACTCCCTCCGTCCCTAAATTGCATGCCTATTTCTAGTATTTATTCCTCACATAATAGAGAGAAGTAGGAATGTAATTTAGAGACGAAGGGAGTAAAAATTATGTTACTAATTGATAAAGAGTATAGAAAGATATTTTTTAACACTCTATTGTTTGTGAAATATTTATTTTATTTCTCTTATTATTTTTTTTCAAACTGCTTATCTCGTATTTCCTTTTTAATTGATGCATGTCATTTATAATTATATTTATATGTATTGATGACATCAATTGTTATTGGATAAGATAGTAAG